CCAATATGCATCTATATATCTATGAATCTGGTATGTATCTATATATCAGTAGTATATTTACTCCAACACAGCAGCAGTTCACCTTCCCCCAAGCACCCCCTCACACCAGCAGTGCAGCAGGAGACGTGCCATACCTTTTGTCTCATAGTAAACAATTCCAGCAAAGTGGTTAATGCCAAACTGGGTTTCATAGTTGTTCTTCGGTGGAATATAGTTTGTGTTCAGCTTGTGCTGGGAATTCAGCTTGTGTAACATTGTGGCATCTGTACCCTGTGAACATAGGAAAAGATCTGACATTTAACTAGACTTTTTTTTTTCCTACTAAAATCATTTTTTCAGTCAATCATGGTGGGTGCTTTTTTGTTTTGCTTTGCCTCAGGGACCATGTGTATTTCTTTTGATGAGAAATATGTTGGAGGGAACCTCTCAAGTGCAGAAGCTAAAGAAAAGGATTAAATACCTATGGTATGATGTATTATATTCAAAATAGTACTCCAAAGGGAGTGTATTTAACATTATTTTTTAAAAACTTTGTCAAAAGCTGCTCTAAATCCCCTTACAGATACACTCTTCCATTAGAAATGCTAACTTGTTCATAACCACGACTACAGTACAGGCAGAAGAAAATATGATAGCAGTAAAGACTATGAATAGGTAACCCACTTGTGAATGTGTATTACATCTTTTTTGATGCCAGATATGCGCCTGGTTAGACCTCTCATAGGGTACCAGTGCAAATGCAGAGGGGATGAAAACAAGAGTCATTGGAAGCAGTATTGAGCCTCGAACACACCTTGGGAAATTTGCTCTCCTCGTCGATGAGGGAGATGATGTTCATGGGTTTGATGGCGATCATATCCAAGGCATCCTGGTTGTCAGTGAACTCAATGTGCTGCCAGTTGATGTTCTCCAGGTTGTATTCCTCCTGCTCAAGTTTGAAGACATGGCGCACGAAGAACTGCTGCAGGTTCTCATTAGCAAAATTAATGCAAAGCTGCTCAAAACTGTAGATGCAAGGTTGAGAAATTATTAGTTCAGATCCATCATACTTGATCCTTATCCATTGTTTTCCATGCCTGAAGCAATGCTCTCAGACCTTACTAACCGCTCAGTAAGTTTGCTATTAACTGAAATCTGCCATAATGGTCCAGGCTATCAATTTTCTCTTCAAAACAACAACAAAGCCTTATGTGTGTCTAGTCTGTACCCATAAGTTGGAGGTTATGTCCTACAGCTACTATGTGGCCAATATTTGAACAAATAAATATCACACAAAAGTAATTGTTTTTGATCATCTATCATTCAAATTGTGCAGTCCAGTTCTGCTTGTCTTGGAGCGGTGATAGGTCTGCAGCACCCTGAGCTTAGGTGGTGAAGGATGGTTAAGACCCGAGTCTCCTTTTGCAGACTCTGTACCTGTTCACAGTGAAGTTCTCAAAGCCAAAGATGTCGAGGAGGCCAATGGATCTCCTGATACTCTTGAGTTCCTGGGAAGGGGGTCTGTAAATCGCAGCATTGATCTTCTCCACAATCCAGACAAAAAGCCGCCCATAAATTCCCTGCAACAGCCCAAAGATGCAGCACACTGAGATGGGTTTGCAGTGCACCCTGCTAGTCTGCAGCACTACTTCACCTGTGACAGCACAGACACAGCAGAGCATATCCAGGACAATCCCTAAGGGACACACTCATGCAAGCCCAAGCCAGACAGTTTTCCTCAGGGATGGGTGCTCTGGTCTCAGAACTTGTGGATATCTTCAGCTCATCTACAGAAATGCCAAGGAGCATCCTAAGATTTACCTTTACAAAAGCATCCCTCACGTCGAGCGCTTGTTCCATGCTGAGAGGGGTGGAGACGGTCTCACCTCTGGTGATTATAGTACGGCTGGTAAGGCAGTTCATCACGTCCTGAGGGTCAACCTGGCAAAGGCACCACTGGACACTGTTGCTGGCTTTAGAAAGGTGTATCATGCCAGCACCAATGTAGCTTTGCATCCCTTTGACCCCTTTCATACTCCTGACTTCAAGCTAGGGAAAGCCCTGGTCTTGGAAGTACATAGAAACAGCCTCTGGATATCTATGGGACGTATTCTGGGACCAGCTGGAGCCCATAGAGAAAAGCCCATCCCAGAGCCTGACCCTGCCACATCCTGAGGAGGACACTGAGGAATGGCCCAGCTTGTTTGGAGGGTTTCCATGGGGTCATCTCACCCCACTTCAGACATACACAGTATAGGTGACATTGTCTCAGCTACTGCAACAAGCTCCCTTTACATTCAATGCCAGGAACATGCTCTTGTTTTGGACATCATTTTTTAGGATGACATGAAATGTGCCCCAGAACTGTCTGTTTCTCTTCTGTGCTGAAAAGGGGAGTTCAGAAACTAAGCTCAGATGGAAATACCTACCTACCTACTGCTAGTGCAGGGTAAAGCATGGCTTACCCCAGTTGCTTTCAGGCCCTTTCAGTGCAAAGAGAGCCTGGTTCAGATGAAGTTTTCCACAATATTAAGAACATGGAAACAGGCTGAGAAGGGGACAATAACACCACAGAGCCACTGACCTCCAGCAATGATGCTGCAGTGATTAGTGACGCCGACTGAACAACCTCGCAGGCATCCAGGTTGTCATAGGTCCGAGCTGGAAGGGGAATGGCACAGGGAAAGCTGTCAGCAGGGATGCAGCGGTGCAGGAGGTAGATGGGCTGGGGTAAAGGCCCTTCACCACTGTCCCCGTGTGATGGCCGTCAAAATGGAAAGAAGAGTTTATGTCTGGACATTGTCTACAAGTGACCTGTATTCTGTTCTGCTAGACACCCTAAATGACTTACACCAACCTTGGGTACAAGTATTTCTAGCATGTAAGTGCTTTAGGCTAAGTTCTCTTTTCCAAAGAGGCTTTTAAATCATCATGTCATTTCCTTTGCAAGGGCATATACAATCATACAAGTGCTTCCAAAACACTCCAGTAGTCTCTCCTTGCAAAACCTGAGTCCACTGAACAGCCTGCAGCCACATTCAACCTTCTTAAATTTGAAAAAGGTGGATGCCACCAAGACTGTTCCAGTGAAGGGTGCCAGCCCTGGGCTGCCTGGACATGTATCAAAGAGGTAGGGTTGACACATGCAGATGGCTTGACATGACCCCCTCCTCCAATGAGCCTACCAGAGTCTTGCAGCCCTGGAGAGAGTAGACTCACTCCTAATTTCTCCTTAAACATCCTGAAAGGACTCCTCATGTCCTTCATGCCACAACAAGCACCTGAGTCCCTGGCACAGCACTGTACCAGGTGTCTAGATACAACCTTCTGTCCCAAAGCTTGGCTCTCTCTCACCGCATGAAATATGGAGGAAAAGTGTGCTGGAAGATGCTCCCATGCTCTGTTCTTTTACCTTCATACTGCAGGTTCCCCATGTGCAGTATGGCAGCCAGCAGCTTGGAGATCTCCCAGTTTTCGGTGTCGGTGAACATGAGGACCTTCATTGCAGAGCGAATATTCGCATACTCTTTGCTGTCGTCTCTGCCATCACAGGTTGTGCAGTTACCCTGGGAAGGCAAAAGGGTCACACAACATGCAGGGTAAAGCTAAATGTGTCTAGCACAGATACGTGTAGCACTGAGGCATCTTTCCCCAAAAAGCAGCAGATGTTTTGCATAAGCAACAGATGATGCTGAACCTGCAGCTCTGGATCTACCCTCTGGTGCGTGTTCTGATGCAGTGCACAGTCTTGTGACCTACATGATCCCACTGTCCCCAGCTACCCTTGGCTGCAATTAACGGAGTAGAAAAGGCTGCCTGAAGTGGGGATAAAGAGATGGGGAAACATGGTGGAGATAGCCATGGATTCATCTAGAAGGCTAGATGGCCTGGTCTTAATTATATCTGTGTCCACCAGCTCTTGTATCATGACTATGATAGTGGGTCTGGAGAATGTATTAGATACTACACTTTTTGTGGATACATACACTGCTGGGATCACCCATCCATGCACATCTCCCCTTCCATCAGCTGCGCAAGAACTTTGGGTCTACACAACACACTGGTTAACCCCAGACAAGGTACCTGGGCAAAAACATCTAAACCATCCAATCCTGGGTCCTGCTTCACAGAAGTAGTGAAAACAGCCTGTCCTTTAGACAGGGAGTTGGGATTGCCCTAAAACTGCAAGGTTGGTAGAGCGACAAAGACATCCTACAGATCCTATGGCTAAGACTAAAGAGGGACATAAGCAGCAAAGCAGCATCTTGGGCTGCGGAGGAAACATCTCACAGCTTCACTTCTTTGAACAAGTCACATCCAAACCTCCACTTTGCTGCTTTCTCACCATTGCAAGGTAGTTGTAGTCAGTGGCTTTCCCTAGACCCAGTTTCTTTTTCTGCTCCATCGTCATTCCTCTCAGCATGCAGTAAAATACATGGTAATTCCTCTCGTCCTGGGCCTGGAGTAGGAGAGAAGTGTCAGCTCCAGAAGAAATGCCCTGTAAGAGTGGGCTGACCAAGTGCCTGCTGATGTGCTTCTGGGAGAACCTCACCTGTCTGCACACCCGGGACTTCTCCAGCAGATACTGTTCAATCTTTGCCCCCTCGATGGCTCCCCTCTTGTTAAAGTGGATGTCAATGTACTTCCCAAATCGGCTGGAGTTGTCATTACGGATGGTCTTGGCGTTCCCAAAAGCTGCAGAGAAGAACCACAGCAGGTCAGAGGGGACCTGGCACATGGAGAAACCTGGATCTGGTCTCAAGGGAAAAAACCACAACAGGGCTGGGGAGCCACAGGGGTTAAAAGCAGCCCTATAGCTTTTCCCTTACGTGCGGTTGGCTTGGGATCATCTCGGCATGAAGAGAGAGGAAGCGGCGAGAGAGTTCTGTGCTGGGAAATATGGGAAAAAGAAGGAGGCACCAGGTGATCTTATCCAGGAAAAAGGGCTAAAGCAGGGGGCTTTTGGCAGCAGCTGGTAAAATAAATGCACAAGGACTTAGGAAGCCTGGAAGAAGGATGTTGCAGTGCATGAGATGATGCTCCATGGAAAACAACAGATCTGCTGGCCAGGATTTGTTCACTGTAATGTAGAGGAAAGCACTTATTCTTTAGAAAAATGTAGAGGAGCTAATTCAACCTCCAGAGGGAGATTTTTGTCTTGCAAACAGCCTGCATGCACGTCCACCCTTCACATGACTGCAAACCACCTACTGAGCACTATGACATCTCTTCTCCAGGATTGCCAGGTGGGGAGCACAGGGTTGAAAACTGGGCTTTTCTGAGCCCTAAATGTTCTTAAATGCACTGCTGCAATACTCAAGTACATGTAGGCAAGGGCAAGGGCTAGGACGAATTTGAGCTCAAAGCTGAGTTTACACCCCAGAAGGACTCTCCCTGTAAGTCCTATTACTTATCAACACTCGGTCTGCTCTGCCTGGCATAAGCTCTTGATCCCATTACACGTGTGTTTCCCAGGGTGCTGCGAACACACTATGCACGTGCAGCACATTACTACGTTTTCCAGTGCCATTGGGAGCTCTTATGGCATCTTAGTGCCACAACTGCACTTATTTCTTTTTCTATATCCTGCTGATATTCATACTAACCTAGGTCAGAGAAAGGTTTGTTTTGTTGTTGCAATATTGGCAATATTGCCTATTGCCTATTGACAGTGTTAACTCTCTGAAACTTTGGTTGAATTAATTACACGTTCAGCTGAACCAGCAAAGAATATAAATAAGGGTCTTTTCTCTGCAATTATGATCAAGCAAAACATTTTGAAGTGATTTGCTGAGTACAGCATTTACATGATATTGGTGCTCTGTATACAGTTACAATTCCAGCAGTAGAAGGGGTTGGGAGGTTTTTTGAAATATCACCTAGTGATCTGGTGATCACCTCTGCAGGTGATTAGCATTTTTGAAATCCAAACCACACAGAGAATTGGGTAAAATTACAATTTTTACTTTGAAATTGTGTGTATGTGGAGGGAGAATGTTCTGTTTAAGAATGGAAAAGACTATACTTCTCAATTTTTAAGAATTTTTCAAAATATTTCAGGTCAACTTGAATATTTTATTTTCAATAATAGTGGTCAAAAATCAATAGAAAATTTGACAGCCCAAATCGGAGGATATTTTTGTTGTGAAAAATACAATCATACTGAAAAAAAACACCAGGCTCTCTAACAAATGTTTTCACTGGCACATTTGATTTTTTTTTTATATTTGGTCACCTCTTGAAACTCAAAATATGACAGGAGAAACCCACATTTGACAATATTTTGTGGTCCCTGAATACGATATTTCTGGCCAGAAAAAAAAAAAAGGCAGAAAGATTCAGTGCAAATGTTTGGTTTTCACTTCCAGTGCTCAACTTGAAACTCAGGCCATCATCATCCCACATTCTTGCATGTGCGATTGCATATTTGCCACTTTAAGTTTGCTATCGGCAGACACGTTTCCCTCTGTCATCCAAGGTCTCACCTTCCAAGATGGGATTTGCCTCCAGGACCTGCTGCTCAATCCAGGAGTGCTGACCGCTGATAGCAGCCAGAAACTGCAGAATCAGCTTGGTGCTTTCTGTCTTCCCTGCTCCTGATTCACCACTGCAAAGACAACAGGAATTGAGGTTAGTGAAATCCCCAACACATCCCTGCTGGTGTCCCCATATCCCTATGACTGGTCCTGTAGCCAATATGAGGAATTGAAATTAACTCTTCAGGTGCAAAATTTGATGGGAGAGTGTTGTAGGAAGGCATCAAACCTAATTGGCACTGCCATTTGGTAGTGCTGTGAAGGGCCATTTCTTAGATGCTGTGAAAATCAAGGGTGCAGCACTTATGTTTACCCCTGGCCCTTCCTTGTACAGTAATGCATAGATCTTTGCATCTGCTAAATAAGGACTATGGAGACAAAATTAAAAGGAGAGGTTTACGATCAATATGAGAATTCACTGGTTTGTAAGATAATTTCTAAAGGAATGATAAACTATATTTACTAGGAACATTAACTGCAAACAGTAGAAATACACAGGTGAGTGGAGAGCTCATGAGTCTTTTTAATTTCTATTTGATAAGCTGCTCAACAACAGCTGAGTTGCAGGTGCTCAGCATCCTTTTGCAGAATGAGATCCAGTTTGGAAATTCACCCACCTTATGATGCAACATTGGTCCTTGTTGTTGCGCTGCATGTTGAAGTAGCAGTTGTCAGCAATTGCAAAGATGTGTGGTGGCATCTCCCCAATTTTTTTGTTGGTGTACAGGCGTATCTGCTCCGGGGAGTAGATGGGTAAGAGCTGGTAGGGGTTTACAGCCACCAGTATGGAACCAGTGTATGTCTGGAGGAGAAGCACATGAAGGTTTATAAGGACAGTGAAACTTGGCTGAAAGGCTGTGGCAGCTAGGATGGAGAGTGGAGGCCAGATAAATCAAGGTTTTTCACAAGCTGGATGAAAAATGATGTTCAAATGAAAGATGTTTGCAAGGCGAAGCCTGGAGCGAAGGTGGTGCAGAAGTCTCAAACTATTTAAATCATTTTGTAGTCAGCCACACACACACACACGTAGGTTCAAGCCTTAATCCTTATTTCATGTGCTCCTCAGTTCAGATTCAGAGTTTGAAGTCGAGCCCATCTTTGCAAAAATATCTCCAGAGCCAGTACACATCTACCAGTGATGAAAGGAACCTAGAGATCATTGCTCTCTCTAAAAGCAGGACCAGCTGGATCTATGCCATTCCTGACCATGTCTACATAACATGTTTTTAAAAACCCACACCCACAGAGCCACTAAACCCTTCTGCGACCCTTTATTCTTCACAACCACCTCTGTCTAGCCTCATCTTTCCTAACTGTAATTTAAACCCTTTCCAGGGGACATAGCTATGGCCCACTCAATGCTGACATACCAATTCTTGGCTATTTCTGAGCCATTTTTGAAATGGCATTTTGTCCATCCAATTGTGTAGGTGCCTGGAGCTGGGCAGAGGTGTTAGACCTCTGTGCTCCTTTACTCCCCAGGTATAACACTTTTTCTGTAGCTAGCCTGTGTCTGTAGGGTGTTGAAGAGGACACAGGAAGCCTATGGTTCATCACATGCATGCAAAGATCAGTTTATCAAGAGTACCTTAGTAGGGGAAGGACTCTCCTCCCCAAGAGAGCTGGCAGGCAGTGGAGATTTGCTGTCTTGGAAGGTAAAAATACAGGCAAATGAAGCCTCTGGACATCCCTTTCAGCACTACTTCCCCTTCCTCACTCATGGTGACCAGAAACTCTTCTGTGAAACTAGTCACAACAGTTGGCTGAGAAGAGGATGCAAAAATCCCGATCAGCACAAGGGAGCAAAGTGATGCAGGCAAGGATGCTTGTGACCCATGGAAAAGATCTCTCCATGCTCTGCATATTACAAACTGGCTGACAAATAGAGTAAGTCTGAGTCATTTTGCCACCTTTATGAAGCAAAATAACTATCTGTGCTAGGAGAAAGTGAGATGTGGAGACATGAGCTGGCAGGTCTAGTTCAAGTTTCTGCTGTCCAAGGCTCGTATGCCTTGATGGTGACTGAAAAGACCTGCATGGGGTGGGATGCGAGTTTGGTCTTCACTGTCTGTGCAGTATTTCCCACCTGTCTGGGCTTCCTAAAGGGCAGCCAGCAGGTGGCAATTGTGTCCTGTGGTAGGGGTGTTGGAAGTACTCTGGGACCTAACTCCAGCCAAAGCCAGAGAACAACTTTCTGCTCAGTCTTAGGCAGGGTTTAAATTTGCATTGACAGCAGAAAGAGGATACGATAGTTCTCCCTGTAATAAGGAAGTAACACGCTGGGAAAGCAAAAGGGTTTTCTAAGCTCAAGGATGAGATTATCACAAATCCCCAGAGGTAGAAATTGGCTGTGGAATAACATAGGATGAATGTTAAAAGAAGGCATTGAAGTAGGAGAGTGGTGAAGTCTCAGAGCAGCCCTCCCCGGGGACAGAGTGGAGCAGCTCGGTGCTCTGAAGGAGAGAGTTCTATTTCTGAATGGGTTTATGTCCCCAAATTCCCCAGTCCCCTTCCAACCTGGGATAAGACACCAAAAAGATTTCTTGCTGCTTCAAAATTATTGCCATGCTAACTATAAGGACATTTCTAACAGTCTTCCTTGAACCTCTTCTCTCTCTTTTGACCTCCTCTTTGCAGAGGACTCTGAGATCGCTGTGTTTCAGCTACATTGCCCTGCCCTTACAAGGTTGGTGAGCCTTGTAAGGAGTTAACCATTAGTTGCATTAATGCTTTCTGGATGTTCTTGCTGACCCTTCCCTTGTGATCTCCGAAGGACTTTGTCATCAGAAACTAGTTCCTAGTCATCATTCCTAGTTGATAAATATCCACCGTTTGCCCAAGTTTAGCTGCTGACGGCATGCCAAACTTTGGCCACTTTGCTGCTGGGGGTCAAAAGAGCACCTGCAAAGAAGTATTCGCTCTCTGGTTTCTATTGCTGGGTGAAAGCAGAGCCTTTCTGCTTTAGAGAAATAAAGCTTTCTGGACAGGTAGGGGCTCTGCCATAGTTGACCACTTACATCAGGAACTGCATCACATTCATTACGGCCTGCATGACCTACATATTAATTAGCCCTGAACAAATCCCTTCTGAGCCTGCTTCCCTCACTACCCGGCACTCCGTGGATGTCTTCATCTGGATTTTTATGGAGTTAGAGCTCTACCAAATACTCCTGCATTTTGACAACCCTTAGCAAGCAGCAAGCACAGTGTTCATCTCCAGATAAACAGATTTAACCCTGCTCAGGAACCCAGGCTTGCTATCAAAAGCTCATGCTGTTCAGCCTGTTTTTCTCTCAGCGCATGCAAGCCAAATTAAGGTTTATTTTTTCCTCATTTTGTTGCAGATTTTTCTTTCCTGCAAGCTGAGGTCATTACTGAAAAGTGCTTTTATAGCTTTAGCCATCCAACATCACATTCACAAGCTGGGGACTTTCCAGCTCTGGCAAGGTGCCATGGCTTCATCGTGAGGGCCAAGCTCTGCAGTGAAGGGGATGATGCTTCCCATGCATTTATGAGGCAGCAGCAATGGTGGTGCAAATTAAATGAGAATGCCACAATGGTTAACAGAAATAAGTGATCCAGTAGAAGGCATGACAGTGATTATAAATGACAGCTCAAAGAGTCATACTTACCCTCCCGCCACAGTTTGTCTTAAGTGAAAAGTGTAAGGGAGGAGAAAAAGGAAAATTGTATTTTATTAGAGCAGAAGTAAACCCTCTGCAAAGCTAAGGAGATAAGGAAACGAAGGACTGAAGACTCATTAGAAGACTCATCCCTCAGCAGACTCAGAAATCCTTCCAAACAGTGAAGGTAAAGTCACTATAACTGTCACCATGCCTAAGAGAAAGCATGTTAAACCACAGGAAACAAAACAAAACACCTCAGAGGACTGGTTATCCCTGCCCACAAGACATTGTCGTGGTATCGTGGCTTTGCAAAACTGCAGTAAAAACATTTACTGCACTGGGCACAAGTCTACTCCCTCTAGTTCTACCACTCTTGAAAAAGATGAAATCTAAGGTTGGGTTCTTGAGCCTCCAGTAATACAGGCAGAGGTTTGTATTTGTGCCTCTATGAAGCTGTGCTTTCTGATTTTGGAACATCATTTTAACTTTGAGATTACACTTAGTACTCTGTGGTGTGCAAGACCACAGGGCAGCACTCCAAAACAGTTAGTGCTGTGGAAAAGCAAGGCACAGTAGTCTGGAAATATTTTGATACAAATGAAAGCAGATGGCAGTAAAGAACAATAAAACATTTATTGTAGAGAAAAAGCTTCTTCTCTGTTGACTACATGAGGGACCTAAAGAAATTATGAATCTAACTTGGGCCAAATTTAACTTGTGAATCCTAAGGTCTGGATCTGGTCTCACATAATCAGATGAAAAAACGCCAAGCACTGCAACATCATCATGTAAAAGCGAGTGGAGTCATCAGTCAGACCAAGCTGAGTGGCCATCCCCTATGCAGCTGCTAGGCAGGACCCCTGGCTGTGTCACCATCAAACCCAAAGAATCATCAAAGAAACCACATGGTTACTGCATCACGGTTAGTAGCTGCCCTTTGCATCAGCCTTTATTAGCATGATGCTGCCAAACAACCTTCTGTCCAGTGAACATTCATGTTCATAATCTCTTGGGATGCCTGTGAATAGTTTAGTGAGGGAACTCAGAGACAAGATCTTTTGTAAGGACCTGGGAAATTTGTTATTGCACACCTGAAATCTTATCTGAAGACCTCTCTTCACTCATTGAGGCAACAGGTACATGCCTGATGACATAGGGATCCCCAGGAGGGACATATGAACACCACTGACTAAATACCCAATCCTCTGATAATCTTCCCACAGAGAAAGAGGGAGCTGTGGGAATCCCCTTGGTACCACTGTAGGGTACCCACAAATCAGACAGAAAGGGGCAATAAACATAGGTTCCCTGAATGAGTCAATGAGCTGCAAATCATTGGCTATCTGCACTTCTGGAGTGGCATTAAGGTTACCTGAATTTAGTTAGTCCCATGAGTAATTAGCTTTGAAGCTGGGCCAGGAGCTGAACTTCTAGAGGTCCCTTCCAACCTAGATTGTTCTATGATATCTGAGCTCTAGTCAGCTCTAAAGCAAGTCACCTCATCCTAGATGCACCAAGCTTTGGGCAGCTGAAAAGCAGTCTTGGCTGTCTTGTCTATATTGAGATCTCTGCTGACCACTATGCACGCTTTGTACGCTTGGTGACACCATCTCAAGTTTAAATTTGACTCCGTTGTAAAAGGCTGATGCTCTCTGAAGAGTGCACCAGGGAGTAGTTAATTCCACCTAAGATCTAGATTTTTTTCTTGGATGTGCTTTTTTTTCTCTACATTGACAAAATAGGGGTTCTGGGCATCATGTACACCAAGTAAAGAGACTCAGTGAGATTAAGGGAGATGAATTTAAAGATCTGTATTTTCTGGGGATCTTATGGGGTGTCTTTTATAGCAGCGATGTCCTCTTCTAGAACAGCAAACCATCTCCGAAATAAGGAATATATTGAGTTGGGGAGTTCAACCATTTGAACAGCCTATATAACAGAGTGCTGTGTTCTCCACCATCTCTCCAATCTCTAATCTGAGATTGTCCTCTTAAAAATCACTGGACATCAAGCAGAACATGTAGACTTCATTTACGAAAACCTAGATATGGTCTGCTAAGTTTATGCCTTTTGGGAGGTCTGACTGCACTGCAATTCCTTCTGGCTTGAAAATCTAGTTGTATCTGGAGCCTCTTAAAAGTAGATCTCCAGGTAGCACTAAAAAGGTCCTCAAGGGCACAGAAGGCTCTCATCTGAGTACCAGAAAGATGTTTGATTTGAGAATTTCACAGCAATATGAAATTCTTCCATATTTGCATAGGCCTATTAGCTAGTGGCAAACACACATATTCCTCACTTATGCCTCAATGTCCTGCATGTAGACAACCTGTATATAGAAAGCATGCTAATAAAACCAGTCCAGAGGCCTTGAATGTCTTAAATCACTGGAGCTATAGCCCTTGCAGTATTATCACATAATAGTGCTATATTTTTAGGGTGGCTCTCATTGATGCACTTGATTTCTGCATTTCTGGTTGGGATGGCAAATCTGGTCTACTGGCACATGACATTTTTGGGCTGACCTAGAAGGATATTGTTCTCAAGTATCATCTCTTAGGACCCCAGGCAACCCAGAGACAATAGGTTATGAATACATGTAGCAGATACTTTCTGTAGAACTGTTAGTAGAATTATTCTGGGAGTTACTGATTTAATTGTACCCGGTAATTTCACACATGTTCCTCATTATCCTTCCTCCACAGGGTTGAAGATGGAAAGATCACATGCAGCTTCTCATCTCCAAAGGCTTTTGCTTTAGTACTACTGCCTGTGAATGGCCTGGGTTGACCTGCTTACTGGAAGCACAGAAACTTACTGTGTGTCCAGAGAACTTCCAGACTGGCTAAACAGGGCAGGAATTTTACCTAAGTCATGGGGTCTTCAGTTTCTGTTGGGATAGCCATAAATTCTGCAGCATCCTCTAAAGGTGGACAACATAACAGTAACAAAACCCTTCCTCTGCATGGGTCCAGCTGGAGGCAGAAACATAAGCACCCAGCTAAATCTAGGGACCCTCCAGTTGGTCCCTGACATCTGCTCCTCTGAGCTAAGGGTAGTAAAAGGCAAGGGGTGGACACTCACATAGATGAGGTGCTCCCGGTAGCGGATGAGCAGGTTCCTGAGGATCCCTGCCTCGTTGAGGTCCCCCAGGCGGATCATGTCCTCCACTCCATGGATGGAGGTTGGGTGCATGGGTTTGATGTGGCTGGCATTCTGCGGGGAAATCCAGTGCTCCTGGGAAAGAGGTAGAGGTAGAGAAAGATAAGTCAAATGTAATATTGCTGAGAGAAGTGACAGGAATATACTATTCCAGCCAGAAGGATCAGGTTGAAGAAGAACATGAGAGAGCATTAGCTATTACTTGTATCCTGAAGAATAACAGGGCTAATGTGGAAGAGTCATGGTGGAAGAAAGAAAACATCTTTTGGTTCATGGGAGCAGCAAGAGACATGAGATGTGAGCCACCCTGGCAAGGGTGTAATCCAGGGAGGTCCAGCATGTCAGGAGAGCTTTTTCACAAATAGCAGGTTTGCTCTTCATTTCACACAACTACATTTCCACATCATTGGCCAACCCTCTGCCAATTGTTGAGTAGATAAAAACATGACATAAAAGATGAGCGAGAGATGCACAGGGGGAGGAAAATTGCACATATACAGAGTGTCACTTAAATTGATCAATTCCAAAGGGTTTCAAAAACTATTGCAAATTGGATATGAGGACACAGCTCTACTAAAGTTTCTACCATCCCAGAAGGGAATGAGAGCTTTCAATTATCTGCTTGTGAAATAGATGTTTCTCTAAAATAGCAATTGTCGTACAGAAGTAGAGATAGAAAAATGAAGGAGAACCAGTGTTTGGACATGCTGTATGAAGGTAAGGTCTCAGGGGGGATTGGATACAGCAGAGGAACAGCTGATGGGAGGTTAATTCATTCAAAGTACTATCTAAAGCACTTTGGAGACCTGTGTCCTCATTATATTGTAGAAGTTTCTTACCATTTCACTCGCAGAACAATCAAGAAATTAGGGACTCACTGTCACCTTATTTTTTACAGATGGAAAACTGAGGCATATTTAATACAAGGGCATATAATACAATACAAGGTCAGTGATAAGGTCAGAACATCATGACCCTCCCACATGAGCACATTTCCCCACTGAGTTTGGGGAACACTGGAAAAGAGTAAAATTAGATCTATTATCTGGCCTTGAGCTGTATTGTTATGATCTCTCTACTTGGTGTTGTAGATTGTTGTAGATTCTGTGGAGAGGCATTTGGGAGTTCTGGGTGACACCCAGAGGCAGCAACGTGCCCTGGTGGCCAAGAAGGCCATTGGGCTCCTGGCTGCAGCAGGAGCGTTGCCAGCGGGCGAGGGAGGGATCCTGCCCCTCTGCTCAGCTCTGGGGAGGCCGCACTGGAGCATTGGGGGCAGCTCTGGGCTCCCCGGGACAAGAGGGACCTGGAACTGCTAGAGAGGGGCCAGGGCAGAGCCACGAAGATGCTGAAGGGACTGGAGCATCTATCGTGTGAGGAAGGACTAAGCCAGCTGGGCCTGTCCAGCCTGGAGAAAAGAAGACTGAGAGGGGATCTTTTCAACATGTAAAAATACCTGAGGGGTGAATGTAGGGAGGATAGGCCCAAACTCTTCCTAGTGGTGGCCAGTGACAGAACAAGGGGTAATGGGTACAAATTAAAACACAGGAAGTTCCATCTCCATGTGAGGAAGAACTTCTTTGGTGTGAGAGTGCCAGAGCCCTGGCACAGGCTGCCCAGAGAGGCTGTGGAGTCTAATTCTCTGGAGATTTTCAAACCTGCCTGGATGTGACCCTGTGCCCCATGCTCTGGTTGTCCCTGCTGGAGCAGGAAGAAGTTGGACTAGATGATCTCTAGATGTCCCTTCCAACCTCAACCATTCTGGGATTCTGTGATTGTTCCTTCCTGGCCTTTGTAACCTGTCATTTCTTGTTTGTTTACTTTATACTTTGTCTGGCAAGAATCTGGGTCTTCTCTAAACCTGTGGCTTGGTTCCAAGACTCACTGGTATTAATGGGGAGAATCCCATCGTCTTTAATGGGATTTGAGTCCGGTTTTGCTTTTGAATAGCATTTGAGGTCATGCTTTTAATCCTGCCTGAGGCTTGCACATTCAACAGTCACAGAGCTGATAAACAGTCATGACTCTTTGTACATACGTTGCCTTCATCGTCGACAACCTGGATCTGTCCAGAGTCACACAGTTTAACCACTGCTCCAATGGGGACGTCGAATTCCCGACCGGTTTTGAGGTCCATCCACACATAATCCCCCTGGACCAAAAAGAAAACAATTATATCACAGCTGCAGAGGAAGGCTCAACACCTCTTAGGATATTAAATTCTGACTTTTGGGCCCATGAGTTTTGTAGATGGCAAAGCTGTACCTCACCATTTCATGAGCTCTTGAGTGTCTGATGGTCACAGACTGCATCTAGCAAGGAGGTTGCAGGGCAGTGATGCAGGCAGAAAACCCCACAGAGCGGGAGGTTTTCCTCCATGCAATGGGTAAGCCTAGAAAATGATGCTTAGGAGCTCTGGAAATATTTGTCTGGAAGCCTGCACCATTTTCTTTGAAGATTATCTCTGCAGAATATGCATTCCAATCCCTCTGAGATGGCAAAAAGGGGTGTCTAGAGAGGGGTTAAATCATACCAGATGGATAGAGATACTTCCACAGGATGGCCTCCCAACTACAGCAATTTGCAGATGGGCTATTTACATAGATGCAGTGAGCAGTTCATTCCTGTCCTCCCAGTCCATGTCCCTGGCAAATCTGTAGGACCTCTATTGTGTAGGAACAATCTCTTGATGAGTTCCATGAATATTAAACTACTCCAATGAAACCAGGGTTTTTAAGAAATTGCTTTCCTCAAGACAAACTATAAAAAAAAAACACCCAAGATCAAACTCCTGAGCAGGACTTTGGTCTTTGAAATGAGACAGAACTATTTTCCTACAGCTAATAGTAATGTGAAGAGGTGCTAATTGGGAGCTACTCAATTAAATTACTGTCAAGCAAGTTTGCAACAAGCAAAATAATGTATTTTTTTTCTCGCATCTCAGTTTAATGTTGTGGAACTCGCAGTCATACCTAATGCGCAAATTCCTGGAGGCCCCGCATACACCTATTAAGCATGATCCAAATGCAATATCTGCTCTTGGAAATCCTGGAAAACTGCTGGGGGAAGGAGAGCAAGTAACAGGAAGGATGACTCTGGATGTGTTCTGACAGACCATCTTCCCTAAGCATCTATTATTGACCATTTCTGAGGACAAAGTACTTGGAGATTTGGTTGGATCCAATATGGTGGGAATTACAGGCTGTTGAACAACTTACAACTTCACTATGGGTAATGGGAATTGAATATATGCAGGGGTCATTTCTTTATTATCCAAGCAGTATAAAACAAACTTGCAACATCCAAGTCAGCATGACTAGAAAGAGGAACTAACCTGTGAACTCCATGGTTATGTAAAGCTATACCCAAGGATCCATTCATGGAGAAACTCTATACACGAGGAGTCCCCAGCCATTTTGTGGTAGACTCCACCCTTGGTGGCTGATTGCTATGTTTCGCCTCATATATCAACAAACGTATTTTTCCTTTTCCTCAGATCCTATTCCAAATATCTTCATCAAGTTCATAAACAAAAATAACATTTTGAACCTTGGCTCATTAACTGCCTTAACCTCCCTTCCAATAACTCAGTTAAAAGGAAATAAAAAAGGTGAATGTAGCAATGCACAGATACATTATAAATCCACTTATATTAATATTTATTCCTAAGCTTCTTTGATCCAAGACTCTGAAAGCATTTTAAAGTATTCAGTGCTCTTCTCCTCCTGCTGAGCTGAACAAATTTATGCACCGAGTAGGCAGGTAACTTGATCAAGGTCTCAAAGAAAGAAGAGATGGGGATCGCACTCCCTGCTCAGCAGAGCCCTTCTGACACTCCAGAAGTTGTGTAAAACTTGCTCTAGATAAAAATCCTAAAAATGTAGGACTGTGGGTTTATATTTAGTTTTTAATAGTTGCAAAAAAACACCTGCTTCATAGCCTGTTCTTTTAGCAACCAACTAAGATAAAAAGGTAGTCCTGTATCAGCAAGTTAAAGTGATACTGTATTACTATTAAGACAACTTGTGTGCTTTGCCAACCTAGTGCACAGGATACTAATCTCCTCAAAATGCTCTTTCCAAAGACATTCACAATGCTGCTCTTAATGTTGGTTAAAAAAAAAAAAAAAGGCAATGAAAAGGGATGGACAAAGCTGATAAGCTCAGAAAGGCCTGGAGGGCTAAAATGTGACATCGCTCAGTCAGATTGTAAACCTGTTTCCTTCCTTGTCTTTAATAAGTTTGACACAAAATGCATGTAAATCAGCTACAGTCCTTCCGCAGATGCAGTGACCTTTGGAAAAACCCAAGAAACAGCAAATATATCATGAATTTCAGGGCATATCAGTGTGATTCATGCATTTACCATCTCCACTGGGCAACCTGATAAGTTGCAAAAAATATCTTATGCCTGGAATGATGCTGTTTATTTTCCCAGACTCACAGCAGAGCACCAGAGAAATAGAAATACTAATCTCTTTACATTATCTAAATTGCACAATTCATCCTCCTCAGGACATCTGCTAAGTGCAACATCCTTCCAAATAGTCTGGGGCAGACCCTGTCTTCAGGACGTTGTAACCGAAGAGCACCGGCAATCCAATAGAGATGCAGGAAGAAGGAACAACATGATGCACATACACAGATCAGTACAGTTCACAAAGAGGAGCTTTAGGAGGAACTTCCAAGTGCTAGAAAACAAGTACACAGCATCACTTGTCACAGTGACCCAGGAGGAAGGTGAGAGAAACTGGCACAAGTAGTACAGGGATCCCATCAAATTTTACATGAGCTTGAAAGCCATCAGCCACACCTGGAGTTTGGGACCCCCTATCTTACCGCTAAAAGAGTCGTGGGCTTCAGGGCTTGATTCACATTGCGGAGTAGTGTCCATTTGCCCTGGTCTCTCTCCTGATCTTCCACCACCTCAGGGCATGGTTGCATGATGATGACTTTCTTCCTCTTCAGCATTTCCAAAATGTTACAGTGGCATCTGGCCCTCTCTCTGCTTGCTATATGTATTCCACCATGAATGAGGCCAGATTGCTTTAGACCAGCAATGTAACCATGACTTCAGATTGCAAGACACCCTTGGATTTAATCCACAGTATGGTTTTGACAAAAAACTTCTAGAAGAAAAATTTCCCTCCACCAGCCATGGTCCTCTACTGGCCACCTAGTATGAGTTCCCCATGCAACTAGGCACTGTTGGAGTTTCAAAGTCAACAGAACCTTCCTTCTCTTCACTTAAATAAGACCCTCCTTCTCTTCACTGAAATTCTTCTGGTCTCTCCAGCAAGGGATGATACTTGGTCAGAGGTCTGAAGGACACTGCAACCACTGGTTCTGGAAAAATGGCTGGAGGATTAACAGGAAACCTCTTCATTTCCCTGTGACTTCTCTCCTTTATCTTCCGTTCTTAGGGAAACGTCTGGCTGCCAGCTCAAGGTTTTTCAGCACTGAACACACTCGGGTACTTATTAATCCACAAATGCACTCAGTCCCCATGCAACACATGGCATTTAATTAACCTAATACCTTCACATACCAAATTAACCAAAGCGCAGTGGGAACTCAAAACCAGAGGCCATCTGCATTTTCTTTAAACTGATCGCCTCGAGCAGTTCCATAGCAACTGAATTTTAAATAATTGAGTGGAAAGCGTTTGGAGCAGCATGGTCTCTGTGCCTATATGGGAGAGAAGTGCCTGAACTAGGGACCAAAATGGGCCAAGTGTGATGGGCACAGCAGTATCAGGACTGTAGGCCCAACCAGAAGAGAATCATGAGGGGAATAATGCATTTTACGGTGGCCTCAAATATGCTTTTTCCTATCCTTAGACACACTCAAGCTTTCTCATTTTCTTTTAGGAAAGCTACTCTGCTCATTTAGGGAGCTAAGGCTACTGAGTAGTTCTTGCTAGGCCTGGATTCTGGACCCCAGCCTCTTCAATGGAAAATTTGAATCTAGGCATCGTTAGTACCAGGCCAGAGCAGCACTGGACTAAATAATGATACAGGGGCAAGTGCCAGCTACTATCTCATTTATCCCTGTTCTTATGCAAAATTACACTGATGCCTTGATTCCACATTTCTTTGATGCAGAAGATTTTTTTGTGTATGTGTGAAAAGCTCTGCAGAGGAAATGAGACTTCATAGACCTGTCTTGATTTTGCACAGCCACCAAGGACATCTGTAAGTGACAGGTACATCAGACTGAGATGCTTTTGCTCCTCAGTGAAGAGCAGAGACAACAGTGAGCAGATCCTTGCCCAATGACCAGGTTATATATTAATAACTTTGTAGGTTAATTCATGTTATGAAGGCCTGAAAAATAAGGTGTCTAATTCTTTTAGCTGTGCAGGTGAAGTGATGAAGAGCTCCTGTGTCATGGATAAACAGATGGGTAAGAGATTAATGAGCAAGATGCCTACTGTCCATCGAAGATGCTAACCACAGCCTGCATGAGATGCACTAGCAATGTATGGAGAAAAAGCAGACAAAATGACACACTGTCAAGGAAGATGTCTAGCTCCAGCCATAAATGATGTACTATTCACTAGAATCTAGAAAGTGCAAGACAGCTGCCCAATCACAACTGAATGAGAGGATATATGTGGGAAGAGGAACTGACTAAATGTATATGAAAGGTATCCATTGGATGAATGTTTGTTTTTAAGTTTTAAAGCAGGTGGGTTGTACTGATGCTGTTTGCTCGGGGCCACACACTGCCTCCCTACTGTGTTGCTGTAACTGGAGCAGCCTTGGAGAGGCAGAACGGGAGAAGGAGCAGCTCGTGTATCCATCCCACTTCACACTGGAGCATACAATATGGATCATTGCTCTTCTACACCCTGAAACATATTCCTGAGGTTGTGTAGCCCTGTGTGCTGCTGAAGGCTGAACCGAGGAGCAGGAAAGAGAGATTATTTGCCCCAGGTTATGCTTGGAGCAAAGTACAGGAGGGAGCCAGGAGGCTGAATCCAGTCTCTCTGTAGTCCTATTAAGAGTGTAACAGGACTTATCTTCTCCCTGAAACTTGGGCTGCCAAAGGTCTGTAATTCCACACATTTCCACTATATATTCCTTGTACCGCTTCCCTGGTAGCAGGAGGTTTACCAGGGACTTGTCAGAGCGTGTCTCGTGTCTCC